TCATACCCAGAGATGCCCGGGTTCAAATGCTCAAAGATGCCATTATCCGTGAGAAGGCCTTGTAAATAGGTGGTACTTAGCTCTGAATGTGATTCTGGGACCATGGACACTCTAGAGCAGGAAGTCACAGGACCTGGTGGACATTCTGTGGGGTCATGTTGATCACTCTGCCTCTGCAGTCTCCTCCGGCGGCTTTTTCTCTTTGTTTAAATCATGGAATCTCTCTAGACCCAAGGTTCTTGGGACAGTTCCTCCTCCAAGCATGGTTACTGCTATCTAGAGACATTTAAAGCGTCACAACTGGGGCACATACGCTGACAGTTAGTGGGTGGAGGCAAGGATGCTGCCAAACATGTTAAAATGCACAAAGCAGTCCCACCCACTAAAGAATTTTCCAAAACATCAGCTTGGACTAAGGTTAAGAAACTTGCACATGGTTAGTTCAGGCTAATCTAATGGGACCTGTATATGCAGTCAGAAAAATTTCAGCCTGAAGAGATAGTTCAACAGAACGAGCACATGTTTTGCCTCTAGGAGGTCCAGCACTGCATGGACCCCAAAGATCCCCAGGAGCACAGAGTTTGGAGTAGCCCCTGATCATCACCATGTAGGACCCCAAAACAAAACCAAAAATTCTTGTAGTCAAAATTTTTAAACCTAAAAATAAAACAAGGGAGAAGTTAGTACAGGGGATAAGACACTTGCCTTGCATGCAACTGATCCCTGTTTGATTTCTAGTCCACATGGTCCCTCCCTCAACACTGCCAGGGGTCACAGAAAGCAAAATGTAGCCCCTGAGCACCTTCAGAGATGGCCCAAAAATGCAAGAAAGAGAGGAAGAAAGAGAGAAAGAAAGAAAGAAGACAAGCTAAGTTAAAATTACTGTTCTATATATTTTTGTTCAATGTGTACAAAATAGTATATTTGAACATGCAATCAAGATGAAAAATATCTGTCAGATGATTTTTTTTTTTTAGTTTGAAGCCTGGTGTATGTGTCACGTTTACTATACAAAGCAGTTTAGACCAGTCACGTTTCAAATGCTTCAGGAACTGCATGCATCTCACAGCTGTTGGACTGACCCTAAAGCTCTCTGATCAGACTGGATAATGTTGCTCAATGTTTAAAAGCATATTAGATAATAGTACTTTATGGTTTATCTCTGGTACCAAACTGCCCTGTTGAATGTCAACCCTTCCATTTACTACCTGTTCATCTTAGAATTATTCCACCACTTAGTGCTTCTGCTTTTCATTTGCAAAGTAGGGATCATATCACTCTTACCACTTCATAGAGCTGTCAAGATGAAATGAGTTAAAGCTTACAATATGGTTTCAAGTGTTATGTACACTTTTAAAAAAATGAGATCGGGGGCTGGAGCGATAGCACAGCGGGTAGGGCGTTTGCCTTGCACACAGCCAAGATGGCCGACCCAGGTTCGATTCCCAGCATCCCATATGGTCCCCCGAGCACCGCCGGGAGTAATTCCTGAGTGCATGAGCCAGGAGTAACTCCTGAGCATCGCCGGGTGTGACCCAAAAAGCAAAAAATAAATAAATAAATAAAAATAAAAATAAATTAAAAATGAGATCATTTGTGTTTATTCGTCCCTCCCCCTTCCCCACTGTTGTTGTTGTGATGACCAAGGGTCTTTGCATCATTTAGCTGTGGCGCTCACTGGGAGTCAGGCACCAGGCTGCAGTGCTCACCTATTCTTTGCACTCCTTTAGGGTGCTTTGCCAGAGGTGGCACTCTTGCTTAGGGCACACGGATTATGGTTGCGGTGTTTGCTGGGGCCACAGCGCTGCTCACACCTGTGCTCACCAGGGACTTCACTTCCTGGCCACTGTGTCTTACACATCACTGTTGCTGTGGTGCTTGCTGGGGTTACACGCACCCCTTTCTTTGTGATGCTTACACACACCTAGCTGAAGTGTGGCCAGAAATGGCTTGTGGCTCCAGGATCTGCAGAAAGCAGAGCTGTCGGTCTCAGACAGCAGAGCTGCCGAGATCTCACTCTGCATATAGGATTTGAACTCATGCCCCTGCACGTACAAGGCAGGTGCTCTGAGCTCCTTTTCTATTCCTCTGGCCTCAAGTGCGAGCTCTTTAGCCAAGCGCCTCCCAGAGATGCATGTAAAGCTCACATGGAAGTTTTGTGTCTACCACCAAAGCCACATCTCCGACACCCATCTACACTTTCTTTTCTGGGTAAATCATGTGCTTCCACCACTCTAAATATCACAAGTTCCCCCGCCCGCTCCTCTCTGGAAAGAAAGATGGCGGCCGCACGGGAGCCTTGTGGAAAGCGGGTTTGAGCCGGGCTCGGGGAAGCGGCGGGGACCTCATGGGAAGGGGGGCTTTGTGGGCCGTCCCCCACGCCCCACCGAGGTCACCAGCTGACCCCCACGAGCGGCTCTCCGGCACGGCCACGACTCCAGGGCACAGAAATCAATCTCTTAACTAGCTAACTTTTAATAGAAATTCTTCCAGGGTCAATAAGTAAAATAGCAGAAATTCAAAACCGCGCGGCCGCTATTGCGGCCGCGCGACATCATTTTATTCTTAAACCAAGTTGTAGAAAGCAAATCATTTCACAACGCTGTTTCAGCATGTCTGATTGGGGGGGGGGTGGGTCATAAACTCTAAACAATAATTGTGCATCTTCTATCGAAATAATCTATCTAGTCAAAGTAGATAGAGTATTAACTAGAACTCATCTGCCTCATAAGAATTGGGAGGGGTGGGAGGTGGGGGTCTATTGGGGTTCGGGGTTAAAAATGAGTATTGGTAAAGGGAAATGTGTTCGGTATCTACATGACTGAGACCTAAACCCGAAAGCTCTGTAACTTTTCCCACAGTGATTCAATAAATAAATAAATTATAAAAAAAAAAAAAAAATCTGACATCTCGAAAGAAAAAAATAAATAAATAAATAAATATCACAAGTTCCAAAGACTTCCCAACGGACTTTCTAATAACATATCACCCAGACCTCTGTTCTGAACTCCCCATCACCTGTTGAATTGTGAATACCACTTTGATGAGTCAGGGTAACTCACATGAATATACCCACAAAGTGACCCTGGATCTTCCCCACTACAGATCAGCTCCATGGCCGGTTCCTATCATATCATTATGGGCGACAGATACCTGGGGGAGCGTTGGAGCACAGCAGATAGGGCATTTGTCTTGCATGTGGCTGACCTGGTTTCAATCCTCAGCATCCCATATGGTCCCTCTAACTCTGCCAGGAATAATTCCTGAATTATTCCTGCTAGGTGCAACCCTTGAGTACTGGCACGGGTATGACCCAAAAAAAGCCAAAAACAGACAGACATCTGGGGGGATAGATTGTGCCAGGTCTATCTTGGTTGAGGTTGAGGTTTCCCTCTCCTGGTATGTGCCTGCGGAAGTGACATGAGAACGGAGACCATGGAGAGAAGGGCATGGGGCATGGCTCTGGGTACTCCAATGGGTACTCCATTTGTCTGTGCTTAACTGCTTGTGTGGGGAGCAGTGTATGTCCAAACATGTCTGTGTTCTCTGCCATATGGCTATGCTTGTGGACATGCGTAGAAGGGTGCATGAGAACTTTCTTTCCCACCTCTGTAATCAAGTGTCCCCAAGCAGGTCTTGTGGTGGTGCTAACAAGGCAATTATCCTTGGCTGACCAACCCGATTCTCCAGGCACAAGAGGGCTTCCATGTGGTAGTAGTTGAATCAAAGGAAAGACTTGACCCATCCTCTGAAGACCTCCCCCGCAAGGCCACAGCCATGGTACAGCAGGAAGGGTGCTCGCCTTGCAACCAACCCAGGTTCCATCCCTGGCACCACATAGAGTCCCCTGAGCTCTGCCAGGGGTGATCCCTGAGTGCAGAGCCAGGAGTAAGCCCTGAGTACTGGGGGGGTGGGGGGGAAGGGAGCCTCCAAATCACAAAACAAACAAGCCAAGACCTGGACTAGGTACTCTCCCCTTTGCCCATGAAGCCCACCTTTCTGGCCACTCCCACCCAGTCCAGTCCACCTGCTGGAAACCCTACAGTCTTCTTTGAGCCTGGAGCCAGAGGGATCTTCAGAGAATCTCTAGGAATATTTTGTAGCCCCCTCCCTAGAGGCAGGGCAGCTGCTGGGGAGTGAACAGCCGAGTCTGTTTTGTATGTGTGGGAAAGGGTGTCAGAGAAGGAAGGCTGGAAGGCGGCTCCAGGAACCCTGCTGCAGGCCTTCCTCGCCCCTATCCCGACACCCTTGCACTTGGCCTCAGGACACAGTTCCAACTCGGGAGAACTGCGGGAGGAGACTCCGGCCACCAGGCAAGTCAGCCGTTCGGGCACCTTGCCGGGATCCCTCCTGCTTGGGAAGTTCAGCCACAGCTTCAGCTGTCCCTGGGGGGACTGACATCCGCTCTCACAGGCCTGAGCCTCGCCCCCCACCCCCAGATTGTACTGGCTTCGACCCCGATGGGGGAGGCTGCTGAGATGCTCGATGCTGCTCAGGCCACAGCCTCCCCCACCAGCCTCCGCGGACACGGGAGGGAGACGGGAGCGCGCCGCCTCGACCTTTGCAGGGGTCTGCGGCATCACCGAGAGGCGCGGCCACCAGCGGCCAGCACCCCGCAGTGAACCACGGACAGTGCTTCCCCCGGGGACCTCCAAGGCACCTGCCCAAGGCCACCCAGCGTGCGGAGGCCGGGGCGGCGGAGCGGAGCCGGACCTCCCAGCCGTCAGTGGGGGCGGTGACTGCCCGGGGCCTTCCCACGGCTCGGCCTGCGCGTCACCGCGGGGGCGAGGGGGCGCCGGGGCGCCGGGGGCTGCGGCGCAGGAAAGGGCCCTGGGAAAGGGCGGCGGCGGCGCCCCGGGGCGGGGCCGGGCGTGGAGGGGCGGGGCCTGGACGGAAGTGGGCGGGGACTGGTGTGGAGTGGGCGGGGCCGGGGCGGGGCCGGGGCGGGGCCGGGGCGGGGCCGGGGCGGGGCCCGGCTTCCAGACCAGGACCCTGCAAGCTGCCGGCAGCGACCTGGCTGGGATCTGGCTGTCCTCCTGCTCGGCATGAAGCGACCCCGGGAGCCGAGCGGCTCGGACAGCGAGTCTGACGGACCCATCGACGTGGGCCGCGAGGGGGAGCTGAGGTAAAGGCCGCGATGGGGGACTAGGTGCTCCGAGGGAGAGTGGGATGGGGAGCGCCGGGCGGGCTCCGGGGGCAGGGACCTGCACAGCCCTGGAGAGCCGGCAATGCGCCAGAGCCCGGCAGGTGTGTGGAGGTGTGGACGTGGGAGGCCTGGGCCGGGGACAGGGGAGAGGAGGACCCTGTGCAGGGTGTGCAGTTACACGCACGAGGGCCTGGGGTCCAGTCCGATGTGCTCTCCGCCCTCTGGGGTGCGGGGAGGAAGGAGGGTTCAGGTGGTGTCTGCCGTCCGACTGGTGAGCAGTCTTTCTGCGCAGGTCTCCGGGTGCTAACTTTTGCGAGATCTTTGAAAACCCTCTGGTCGTGGGCGCCACTCCCCCCTGTCCCCAGCCCCTGCGAATCCACTGCTTTAGCAGAGCCGCCGTTCTTGCCAGTTTTGCACTGACCTGGGCGGAATCTCCGTACTTGATTGACCCTTACCTGGGTATCCCTATCATATAAGGGCACCAAACTCTTAGGGCGGAGTTTGGACTTTGGGAATAGGCTTTTGGTACTGAAAAATGGAATGTCAGCTTGCCCGGGACCAGTGAAGGGCTAGACTTTAATTCCAGGGCTTTGTACCACCCTACTGCCCACGTCTTTAACTTCATAGTTATTCTGGGGCCAGGGACATAGCTCAGAGGGCTTGTGTATACCTAATCTGTATGCAGGTGGCCAGGGTGCAATCCCCAGCACGGCATGGTCTTCCGAGCATCATCATACACAAGGGGAGTAACCCCTGAGCGTAGCCAAAGGGACCCAGTTGCCAAAATAAACCCACCCTAATTATATAGAGTTTAAGATGTAATGTCATATATATACATATATATATATACATATATATATATATCACAGCGGTAGGGCGTCTGCCTTGCGCGCAGCCAACCTGGCTGAGCCAGGTTCTATTCCTCCACCCCTCTCAGAGAGCCTGGCAAGCTACCGAGAGTATTCAATACGCCAAATACAGTAACAAGAAGTCTCACAATGGAGACGTTACTGGGCCCGCTCGAGCAAATCGATGAACAACAGGAGGACAGCTCCTCCCATATATATATATATATATATATATATATATTATGTATATATATATATGTACCTGTAGAAGAAACGTCACTACACTGCATGGCTCTGCGACTTCCTGGTTCTGTGAACCATCTGAGTTTCCATTTCCTTGCCTGTGGAATGAGTTTAACTAACAGAATCGACCTCCTGAGACTTATGGTAAAATCAAATGAGGAATGCCGGGATGAGCACAGTGCCTGAGCATATAAATACTTTATTGGTGTCAGGCACCCAGACATGTGGTACCCAGAACCTGCATTCAGCAGCAGGGACTGACTGGGAATTTGAGGCCACTAAAGCTTGGCAATCTCAGGTCATTCCTGTCCCTTTCTCTGTCTGTTTCTTCACCTCAGGGCAGAGCTGATGATGCATCTCAGTAGCGGAATGCATGCCTGGTGTGCATGAGGTACTGGGTTCGATACTCAGTGCAGGGACAAGGAGAAAGGGAGGACCAGTAAATCTCCCCCAGCTCAGTCAGACTTGATTCTGGTAGATTTGGAAGAGCTCATTCGTAGGAGGACATTTGACATTTCATCATTTCGGTCATTCCCAGTTGTCTTAGACCAGGGGGTCTATTATCCATCATAAATTTTCTATCACAAACCACAAAAATGCCACCAACTTCCAATTATGTATCATTTATGTTAGGAGGCGATAAGGCAGTAGATGTTCCCCCTTGTACCCTGTATATTAAATTTGGGGGGTCATACAGTGCAATTGAGCTACACTTTTAATTGTAGCGTATTAATCCTATCTGTTTAGCAAAATCTTGCTCTGTATAGAAGTTCTCTGAGTCTGTGCCTATTAGAATCAGGAGGTAGAGAGGGGCCCCAAATTCAGTATCATTGGGTGTTTGTGAGTCTGAGGCAAAAAAGTGATGCCAGAGAGCTAGGCTAATCCTGGCTGGTTTCTGTGCTCCAAGAATTAGCAGCCCACGTGGTGACCTACCAGGTCACAAAGCCCATGGGCAGGGTGAAAGAGAGGAGAAGAGATGACCTGTGGCCTGTGAGGGCACCCGAGTAGGAAGATGTCATCTTGATGCCAGCAGGGAGGGCATCTTGATGGTGGGACAGTGGGTCTCTGACATAAAGCATCAGTGAGCACTTTTTCCTCTGTTGCATTCTGCCCTTTTAGCCAGCGCCCAGTTTTGGAGACTGTCTAGATTCTTGGAGGAGCAGACCCCCTCAGAGCAGAGAAAGCTGTTGGACATCTGGCAGAGGCTGACTTATAGACCCCTCTTTGTAGCACTCACCCAAGGACCCTCCCCCAGGCAGACATCAATGCTTCAATTCAGTTGCCTGCTGTGGCCCAGACCCTCGGCTGGGCGTGGGGGCCCCAGATGTAGCCTGCTCTGCCCTTAGGGAACTCGGAGAAGAAGAGCTTCATAGACAAAGAGAGCCAGATAAACAGTGGCCAGGGCCACGGGACGGGGGAGCCAGGAACCCCCCACCCTGCCTCCTGTAAAAGGCAGGACTCAAAGTCCCACATTCAGAGACTGAAAGAAAAGCCTGTGCCCCGTTGCCACTGCGGATGTCTGTCTGGTGGCCGCAGCCTGCCCTGTCCTTGCAACCCTTCCCACAGACCTCCAAGGCTTTCCTACCTGGAACAGCCCGCTGCACAGCTGACTTCAGTCCAGAGACATGCCTGCCCCTCCCCCTCACAAGCATTCACAGAGCACCTGTCACGTCACTTACTGGATTAGGGTCTCTGGGCTATTCCTGAATGCTTTAAGGCACGCAGGAACCTTGGAAGTCAGAGCGCCCTGAGTTTGGTTCTCACCACCATGAACTTGGGCAAATGTCTTCCCCCATCTCTAAACCTCAGTTTTCTGCAGTCCAAAGTGGGGTGCAAATACATATACCTCACCAGCTTGCAGGCCAGGTTTGATGCGCTCATGTGTCTTTTTTTTTTCTTTTTAATTTTTTTAGGGTTTGGGGGCCACACCCAGCAGTACTCAGGGCTTACTCCTGGCTCTGCACTCGGGAATTACTCCTGGCATGTAAGATGACTCGGGAGACCATAGGGATGCCAGGGATAGAACCCAGGTTGGCCGCATGCAAGGCACATGCCCTACCTGCTGTACTATCTCTTCATCCCATTGCTTATGTATCTTAAGTACACAGCTTCCTGCTTTGGCACAAGAATGAATGCTGCTCCTGTAGGGGTCAATGAATGCTGTTCCTGCAGGGTCCACCCATCTTTGAAGGGGATGTGTTCAAGAGGTATTTTGGTCTAATGAAAAGACTAGAAGTCTGAGGGCCAGAAAAATAGTACGGTGTGTAAGGAACTTGCCTTGCATGTGGCCAACCCAGGTTTGATTCCTGGCGTCCCATGTGGTTTCCTGAGACCACCAGGAGTAACTCCTGAGCATTGCTGCCCACCCATCCATCCCCAAAGACTAGAAGCCTGAAGACCGGGCCTATAGTGGGCATGACTTTTTTTCTTTTTGGTTTATAGCCAGCAATGCTCAGGGGTTACTCCTGGCTCTGCACTCAGGAATTACTCCTGGCGGTGCTCAGGAGAACATATTGGATGCTGGGGATTGAACCCGGATCGGCCATGTGCAAGGCAAACCCCTTACCCGCTGTGCTATCACTCCAGCCCGTGGGCATGATTCTTAACTGTGTCTCTGCCACTCCACTTCACATATGGTTATTTTTTCCTATTGTAGAGTAGCCCCAGTAATACTGGCACTCACAAGGCTTATTGTGTAATACCTGAGAAGGTGTGTGTGGAAGTGCCATCTAGATCATAAAGTACTGGCTATGAAATACATCCAGTGGAATGATGAATACATGAGGTGCTTTGGGAAGAGCATTGGATTAAAGGCTGGTAGACTTGGCTCCAGGTCTAGAATTGCCTCTAATTTGCTGTGTGGCCTGGAGCAGAGAGGTTCCTTGCGCTCTCTGATTTGACTCATTTTACAAATGCTTGTCCTGATCCCTTCACTGGGGACACTGTGATTCGGCCTCTGGCTGACGCAAAAGGAATGGGATCGTCTACAAAGGCTTCAAGGGGATTTCTCCTGGGGGATCCAGGGTGAGTACTGATGGTGGACAGGACTGGCAGCCAGACCACCTAGCAAGCTCCACCCCTTTCCCAGGAGACCACCCCAGAATTCTGGCTCAGGACCACTTGAGGCCCACGGCACTGACCTTGATGATCAGTGTGTCTCCTCTGGGTCTATAAAAATTGACCCTCTTTTCCAACTCAGACAAGAAGCTCCCACACTTCCTCCCACTGTCGGGGCCAGAGTCCTGGAGACAAGCTCAGGCTCAGCTCTTGGGAGCTTTAGGGATAAAGGATAGGAGGGCTATTCAGACAGACCGGAAATTGGAATTAGGAGAGAAAACAATGCTAAATTTGGGGGTAGAAGACATGAATTCCCATGCTGGCTTTGTTCCTTAGCAGCTGCGGAGGCTGGACGAGCTGCTCTAGCTCCCTGAGGCTCAGCATTCCCATCTGTTAAATGGGCTTTCATTAGGTGGTGGATATACAAAGTGAAGAAACTGTGAAGTGAGGTTTTCTGGGAGGCATGGGTGTCTGGGGAGTCAGAGAATGTCACAAGGAACAGCCAACCTGAAGACTGGTAAGGGCGATGGCAGAGCTGCCTGGCCCTGAAAAGGAGGTGTCAGCCTCCGACAGATGGTCCCTGAGGAGGGATCAGACTGAGAGTCAGTGACGTATGCAGTGCTAACCCAATACCCTGAGAGAGGCCTCATCCAGTTGGGGGTGGGGATGGTTACAAAGGCTTAGTGGACCTTGGTTTTGAGGGCTGGTCCCAAGTGAAACTTGGTAAACAAGCTGCCCTGCACAGCAGATCTCAGGATCTGGCCCTCCGAGCCCTGACCCGGCTGAGCCATCCGGCCCAGAAACTTTCCCCCTTCTCACTAGCCCTTCTTGTCTAGGTTTTTGGATGCGAGATAGACTTTCCCAAGTGGCGTTAAACAGCCAGGGGCACAACAGTCAGATCTGATGAATGTTGATCTGTTTCCTCTTGCGAGTTTCTCTTTTGAGGAGTTGATGTGAGTGTTCCCAGTCTTCAGGGCCCAGAGGATAGGTACCAGGACTAGCTGTCCCGGAAGCCACTTTGCCCCCATTCCAAAGGTCTACTATGTAGATAATCCATGTGCTTGCCTCTCTGGTGTGCAGTGATGCCAGGAAGGAGGGCAGGAGGAGGGAGCTTGGCCATGTCTGAAGCTCTTGTGAGATTGGAGGCTGCAAGGGAAGGAAACAGATGCATGCCTGGTGCAGTTAAGAACTGGAGGGATAGACATTAACCAAGTAAAGGCCCTCCCGTTGATCATCGATTTGCTCGAGCGGGCCCAGTAACGTCTCCATTGGAGACTTTGTTGTTACTGTGTTTGGCATATCGAATACGTCACAGGGAGCTTGCCAGGCTCTGCCATGCGGGCGAGATACTCTCGGTAGCTTGCCGGGCTCTCTGAGAGGGGCGGAGGAATCGAACTCGGGTCGGCCATGTTGGCTGTGTGCAAGGCAAATGCCCTACCGCTGTGCTATCGCAGACATTAACCAAATAATCAATTAATATCAAGGCAAAGGAGGCTGTGTGGATAAAAGTGCCGTGAATGAAGGATGCCAGGAGAGTTTAGATCAGGGGAGACAGGTGGGAGGGATATGTCAGGAACAGAGGTCAGAAAAAAAAAAAAGCCAAACCCACATCTCCAGAAAGGTGGTGTTTGGGGCTGGAGCAATAGTACCGTGGGTAGACATTTGCCTTGCATGCTGCCAACTCAGGTTCAATTCCGGGCATCCCATATGGTCCCCCAAGAATCCCCAAGCACCACTCTATTGTGCAGAGGCAGGAGTAACCCCTGAGCATTGCTGGGTATGCCCCACACCCCCAAAAAAATGAAGAGGAAGAAGAAGAAGAAGGAGAAGAAGAAGAAGAAAAGTGGCATTTGAGTTGAAATCTGAAGAATAAGACATTACTAGGCAGAGGAACTGAGATTTTGAATTGTAGATATGGCAGAGTTCTAAACTAGGGCCATATGTACAACCACAGGAAGGAGAGTTAGAGCATCTATAGGCCATTGCACACAGAGCCCAGGAGGGTCACATTTAGGTGACCAGCTGTTGCACCTGTAGGGGTGGCTGTGCTCCTAAAAGCACTGGGAAACCACTGAGGAGTAGAGGCAAGATCACGTTTGCATTTCAGTGACTTTTCTGCACACAGCAGATAGGCTTGTAGGTAGCAAAGGGAGTGCAAGGGCCCCCCCAATGTTGAATTCCTTGGGGGGCACCCCCAGAAGTGCTCAGGGTTCACTCCTGACAGTACTTGGTGGACCATATGGTGCTGGCCATCAAACCCAGACCTCCCACATGCAAAGCTCCTCCCAGGAGCCCTTTGAGCTGTCTCTCAGGCGGCCAACACTAACTAGACTCTTGGCCGTAGTGGAAGGTGACACAGGCTTGGTGTGAGAGCAGGAGAAAAAGAGGGAGGCGGGAGATAGAACATTTCGGATATGACCTAGGCCGGTTTCAGCGGGGAGAGTTAAGGCCGAGAAGAAATCAGATGGCTCAGTTGCAGGCTTTGGGGGCTGGGGGTACCTCCACTGCCCTGGGACCCCAGGGGAGACGAGGAGCAGGTGTGAGGTGCAGAGGAGAGCCTGCATTGGCAAGGGCGCGGGTCGGAGTGATCTGAGGGGGGGGGCGGTCTCCCCAAGGGAGCTGACCATCCAGTCCAGTCGGGGCCTGTATAGGGCTCCAGGGTGTGGACCAAAGGAAACCGCCTCGACGCTGCAGGCGAGCCCCCTCTGCTCCCAGGAGCCTGCGATGCAGGAAACCGTTACGGGGGCCGAGGTGCTTGGGTCAGGGTCCGGGCAGGACAAGCCACGGAGCCGGCCTCTGCCCCCGTGGGAACCCCCCCGGTGCGGGCGAGGCGCGCCAGCAAATCTCCCCGGGGCTGCGGGGCTGCGGGGCTGCGGCAGGACGCCCGCGCTGGGGGCAGGCCCGGGGCCTTCTGGGGAGCCCAGGGTCGTGTCCCCAGAGTCCAGAAGGGCCTGTGACCCAGATGCCGCCTCCCCCCGCCCCCGGCCGCGCTGCGTGGGAGGAGGCGGCAGCTGCAGCGCGGGCGGAGGGCGGGCGGCCGGCGCGCCCGGCCCGTGGGAAGCGGCGGCGTCTGCGCTTTCCACGCTCCTTCCCAGCGGCTCCCTCTGAAACCCAACCCGCCCGCCCAGCGGCTGCCCGTGCCCCGCCGCCCCGCCCACCCGCAATCCGGGATCGGGTTGCAGGAGCCCCGGGCTGGAGCTCAGGCCAGGGGCAGGGGTGAGGGGCTGGGGTGAGGAAGGGGTGAGGAACACGGGCTGGGGTGAGGAAGCCGGGTGGGGAACCGGCGCAGGGTGAGGGGCTCGGGTGAGGAAAGGGGTGGGGATCTGGGTCAGGGATGAGGGTCTGGGGTGAGAGGCAGGGGCGGGGGTGAGATCAGGGGTGCGGAACAGAATGAGGGCCAGGGGTGAGGAACAGGGGCGGTATTGAGGAGCTGGAGAGAGGGGCAGGGGCAGGGGTGAGAAAACCGATGGGGAACTGGGCCAGGGATGAGGGGCTGGGTTGAGGAGCAGGGGCAGGGTGAGGGGCTTGTGGGGAATAGGAATGGGGTGACGGGCTTGGGTGACGTCAGGGTGGGGAACAGGGACAAAAGAGGGTCAGGGGGACTGGGCCGGGCAAGTGGCAGGTGAGAGGGAGAGGGGGCAGGGGTGAGGCTGTGCAGGAGGAAGGCCCCTGGCTGCCTGCCTGCAGGGAAGGCCTTGTGGGGTGAAGGGAGAGTACCCTCCCACGCCTGCCTCTGTATCTCCTGCCCGGGAGGGTCTCCGCCCGCCCACAGTCTGGCCTCCTTCAAGGTCGGCCCAGGCCAGGGAGATGGCCCTGGGCTCGGAAAAATCAGCCTCTTTCTCTTCCACCCCAGCCAGATGGCCAGGCCGCTGTCCACCCCCAGCCCCTCTCAGATGCAAGCCCGGAAGAAACGCCGAGGGGTGAGTGTCTGTGTCTGAGGAGGACCCCAGCCCCGAGAACTGCACCCCCAGCTTGAATCCTGGTCCTGGTGCCAGTGGGCCAAGTCCTACTGTCCAGTGCCTTCTGCTCTCAGCTCTGCAGGGATGCTGTACCAGGCCCCCCAATATCGGACCCTTCGCGGGGCTCTGAGCCAGAGCTCTGAGTGCCCTCAGAGTGCTGAAGCTGGAAGAGGGGACGCCCCCTGCCTCCCTGCCCCCGCCCCCCACACACTGTTCACCCACCATACCAGACTCTTCCCCTACCGCCAAGAGCAGGCCCAACCTGCTGCTCGCTAATAAGAAGTGCCAGGTAGCCCCCCACGTCCAGCTGTCCCCCTGGATCTTGTACGTAAGTTGGAGTTCTGGTTTCTGCCCTGCTGGCCACCAGTATTGTGAAGTGGACTGAGCCGGCGTGGATGAAAGGCCTGCAGAGCCAGAGAGAACAATGCTGGGACTTCCCCAGCCTCCAGGTGCCCCTGCCCTGTGGTGGGCTCACTGCTACTTCCACCCCTGCAGACTGAGATTGGATTTCTTTGCCCAGGTGTGCACTTCCTTGCTGTGCGACCCTACGCCAGCCCTTGTCCTTCTCTGGACCTCGACTTCCTTCTGCGTAGAGTACGAACAGGTTTCTGTCCTTGCCCCCGCATGGTGGTGGCGTCTCTGAGCCCATGTCCATCCGTCCGTCCAGTGGACGTGGGAGAGGAGAAGCGCCTCCATGTCACTCATATGACTCCTCCTCTTCCTCGCCTTCCAGATCATCGAGAAGCGTCGCCGAGACCGCATCAACAGCAGCCTGTCTGAGCTGCGGCGCCTGGTGCCCACAGCCTTTGAGAAGCAGGTGTGTGACCCCCACAGGGCAGCTCTGCAGGGGTGATAGGGGTGGCAGGGGTCCACTTCTGTGACCTCCCTCATTGAGCCGCCGGCTGCAGAACAGTGTGACTGCCCACTGTCACCTGCCTCTTGGTCAGGAACAAGGAGTGGACACTGAGGTTTATGGAGGGATCATGGGGTCCTCTGGGCTCTGTGAGTGTCGCTCTACTGAGCTGATCCCTCAGAACGACCATGAAGGCTGGAGAGAAAACACAGGGCTTGAGGCGCCTCCCTGGGAGGCCCGTCCCCGGCACCTCATGGTGCCCTGAGCACAGAGCAAGAGTAGTCCTGAGTGCTGCTGGCTGTGGCCCTGCACCCCAGCCCCCCAAAAGACTAAAAACCAGTCCTGAAGCGTAGGGACAATTATGCCCATTGGGCTGGGAGGATCTTGGGGAACAGAGAAGTGTAATGGGGGGGGTACTTGAGACCCTGGGGAGCTGCTGAGGCCGGCCAGAGGTGGGAACAACCCCTGACCCCTGTATGAGGGGCATTTCCAGAGCTGGGGATGCGGCTTGGCAGAAAAGCACTTACCTTGCTTGAGTGAGGCCCTGGGTTCTGTTCCCTCGGGGAACATGACAGGGTTCCCTGAGCAACTCCAGATGTGACCCCAAACAAGAAAGAGACAAAGAGAATAGATGCGCAGGGAGTGAGCATCTGGCGTGGGACGTGGTGGGGTGGTGGCCTCGGTATGCCAGACAGCCTGCAGGGCTCTCCCGCTGTGCTCCTGAGAGAATCTGACCCTCAGCTTCCACCTGGGGGGCAGCTGAGGCTGCAGGCCAGGAAATACTTCCCAGGGGACATGGTAGAGGAAGAGACTGCACTGTGGGGGGCGTGACGTGTCTGAAGGTGGTTCCTCAGAGTGCAAGGTGGGAGGCCTGAGATTTTGTGGGGATTGAGGTGGTTGATGGGCCCAGGGATCTGAGAAGGCAGACAGAAACCCCCAACCCCCAGTGTGCAGAGGCGATTGTGGGTAGGGCCAGCTGGAGCCTGGCCCTTTACTGGTCCGTGCTGGGAAAGGCTGACAGACTAAAGCCGCCAGTTCCATGGGGCACAGCCACAGATGTGGAATTGCAACCGAGGGCGGTGGTAGAGTTGGGATGGGGGTGGGAACCTTGAGTCGGTTGCAGTATTGACCCTGATCTGGGCTGGACAGTGGACAGTGGTGGGGGTGTCTTCACTCTTCTCCTGTGTGCACAGGGCTCCTCAAAGCTGGAGAAGGCCGAGGTCCTCCAGATGACGGTTGATCACTTGAAAATGCTCCACGCCACAGGCGGGGCAGGTAGGCATGCATGCTCTTCTGTCAGGGGCAAGAGTGACCCTGCCACCAAGAGCTGGGTCTGGGCCCTGGGGACACCCCCAAGAGAAAGTGGATGAAGCTATGCAGGGAGCCAAAGGAGCTGCACGTGCAATATTCCCCAGTCCAAGGCTTCCTTCTTTGGCCATTGCCCTCTCCACCCTCAATACCTTGTATACAAATGATTCTCAGCCCTCCCCTCCTTCTCCTGTTCCTCCCATCTTCCTTCTTCTTTCTTCTTCTCTTCTGTCATCATTGTCTTCTTCTTCTTCTTCTTCTTCTTCTTCTTCTTCTTCTTCTTCTTCTTCTTCTTCTTCTTCTTCTTCTCCTCCTCCTCCTCCTCCTCCTCCTCCTTCTCTTCCTCCTCCTCCTCCTCCTCCTTCTCCTCCTCCTCCTCCTCCTCCTCCTTCTCTTCCTCCTCCTCCTTCTCTTCCTCCTCCTCCTCCTCCTCCTCCAATTCCTCCTCCTCCTTCTCTTCCTCCTCCTCCAGTTCCTCCTCCTCCTCCTCCTCCCCCTCCTCCTCCTCCTCCCCCTCCTCCTCCTCCTCCTCCTCCCCCTCCTCCTCCTCCTCCCCCTCCTCCTCCTCCTCCTCCTCCCCCTCCTCCTCCTCCTCCTCCTCCTTCTCCTCCTCCTCCCCCTCCTCCTCCTCCTCCCCCTCCTCCTCCTCCTCCTCCCCCTCCTCCTCCTCCTCCTCCTCCTTCTCCTCCTCCTCCCCCTCCTCCTCCTCCTCCTCCTCCTCCTCCTCCTCCTCCTCCTCCTCCTCCTCCTTTGTTTTTGTTTGGTGATGTCAGGTGTTACTCCTGACTGCACTCAGGAACTGCTCCTGACAGTGCACAGGGGACCATATGGGATGCCTGAGATTGAACCTGGGTGAACCACATGCAAAGTTAATGCCAAACCCACTGTTCTATGATTCCGGCCCCTCCAAGATCTTCTTTCTACTCCCCCCGACACCCTGTTCTCTCCAGACTTCATTAAGCTTTAAGCCTGGAGTCATCCTCACTGGGGTCCCAAGCAGAACTCGGGGAAGGTCCTGAGCTTTTCCCGAGTCTCTGCTCCTGGGCTGTCGTGCCCTTGGCAGGATTATAGTGACAGGTACCTCTCTTCACAGTTACAATGTATCCCAGGCTTAGCTGGACACAGGTGTCTTATTCCTGCTAGTCCACACCAGTAAGACCATGAACTATGGTTTTAAATATACTCTGGGGTCCAGGGCGATAGTACAGTGGGGAAGGCACTGAACTTGCATGCAGCTAATCAGAGTTTGATGCTCGGTATCACATGTGGTCCCCTGAGCCCACCAGGAATAATCCCTGAGCTTAGAACCCAGAGTAATTCTTGCGCAGCACCAGGTGTGACGTAAAAACAAATAAGTAAGTAAATAAATTTAAAAGATAAAAAGACTTCTGGGCCAGAGAGCTAGTTCAGGGGTTAAGAACTTGCCTTCCTTACAGCCAACCTGGGTGAGGTACCCCAAGCCTGCCAAGAGAGATCTCTGAGCCTGAATGTGGTGTAGGTCTGGTGGTCTAGACTGGCATTTCTTGGGCTGTAACAACAGCATCTGGGGACAGGCAGAGCTGTGCGTCACACCCCAGAGATAGTGGGGCATGCATAGGTCTGTGGGCTGGAGTGTAGGAATGGACAAGTTTAGTGCCCCGCAGCCCGGGTGCAGGTGGTCACTCTAAAAGCTTCTGCTCGAGGCATGCACAGCCACCAGTCACCAGTGTCCTCTTTTTCAGCAGCTGTAGTGGGGTGGGAAGCAGACACGCATGTTTCAAACTTCCTTAATGAGTATCTTATCCAAGGAAAATAAAAGCATTGAGGATGGAGAGAGTGCAGAGGGTAGGGCACTTGCCTGGCATGCAGCCAACCCAGGTTTGATCCCCAGAACCCTATATGGTTCCCCTTAAAGCCACCAGGAGTGACCCATGAGCACAGAGCCAGGAGTAAGCCCTGAACACTGTTGAGTATGGCCCAACCCCTAACCCCCAAAAAAGAAAAAGAAAGATATAGATTCAGGGACTAGAGAGATCGTTGAATGAGCCCAGAATAACCAGCTCAGAATGGTTCCCGAGCACTGCCAAAACAACCTCTGCCCCTTTGAGCACAGAGCTTGGAGGAGCTGTTGAGCACTGCTGAGTGTGGTAGCCTGGGACCATTCTCACAATACATTCAGGAATGTTATCTCATCTGCCTCAGGGTGGGGTCACTGGCATCACCATTTTCTGGCTGAGGCTAATGAAGAGATGGAAAATTGAGACACTGGCATGGATTTGAATCCTGACTACGCTACTTCCTCACTTTAATTCTTGTTTTGCTTTGATTTTGGCTTGGGGGCCTCACCCAGCAGTGCTCAGGGCTTACTTCTGGTTCAGCCTGCAGGGATCACTCCTGGTGGGGCTCAAGGGACCATATGTGGTGCTGTGGATTAAATCTGGTGAGCCGTGCAAAAAGCAAGCCCTGAACCCGCTGTACTATCTCTCTGGCTCTTGCTTTATGATCATGGACAAATGATTTAACTCTCCATTCCTCAGCTTCCTCATCTCTACAGAGAGAATAATACGAGGGTTTTTCATGGGGAATTATCATGCAGGGCCAAGGGCGTGGGGTGAGCTCAGAGGGCAAGGGTGCGTTCCTGGCATGTGCAAGACCCCGGAGTTGATCCCCAGCATCACATGGGCTCCTGAACAGGAGTAGAACTGATGGCCGCTTGTCCCTGGAGAGCCCCCTCAGAAAAAAGAGGGGAAACAAACCGAAAGTTAGATTGTGTAAATTTAGTGCTTAGTAAGGACTCAGCAACTATTGACTAAGAACAGCACATGCAGAGGGTGAAGGGTTTGGATCCCCGGAGCTGGCTCTTGCCCCAAAAGGCCAACTGCGAACACAGGCTCTCCATGGGGACCCCCACTGAGAACCCCGGACAGGTATTTGCTGCCCTGGTCGTGACACCAGCGCCCACTGGCACTGTCTTTGCCCAGAGAGCAGGGGGTGGGGTGGGTGCAGGTGGTGGAGGCCCTCAGTGATGACCCTGGGGAGCAGGGGCCTGGTGTCACCAGAATCAAAGCGAGGATCTCCAAACGGGGCAGCCACTGAGAGCCAGAGTGGAGTCCTGCTCCCCAAAATGCCCGTTGGGCTGGCAAACTCCATTTCTCACAGAGGCCTGGCATACAAATGAGTTACTGTTCACTAACTGAGCATTTCTGCGCCACGTTCCATCTCATGTCACCCTCAGGCTCTGTGACATGCCCAGTTCACAGTAAAGAAATGGAAGCGCGTCTGGGATTTGTTTCTGCTTGGGGCCTACACCAACAGTGCAGGGCTTACTCCCCGCTCTGCACTAAAGGTGCTTGGGGTGACCCTACAGGGTGCCAGTGATCAAACTCAGGTCAGTTGCATGCAAGGAAAGCACCTTTGTCCCACTCCTGTGATTCAGAAATACGTCCATGGCCGGGGAGGTAAGTAGCAGAGCTAGGATTTGTGCTCTGTGGGCCTCTCAAGACCCTTCTCGGTTCGCTCTGCTGCCTTCTCTGAGGGACCTTCATGGCAGCAGGCACCTCCGTGTGCACGGCCAAGCCACCCCAGGCAAGTGTCTGCAGAAACCTAGTCACCTCGACCACAAAGTTGCTCGGAGATAAGAGCACAGGGGCTAAGACACTTGTCCTGCATACAGCTGACCACAGTTCAGTCTTTTGCACCCCCTAGGGTCCCCAGAGCAATGCCAGGGGTCGGGGGTGTGGCCCCCCAAAAAGGGCAAAATCAAAAAGTTGCTGCTCTGGATTCATCATGAACCATGTGAAAACCTGACATTCTGCGATACTTTGTAGCTCAGAAAATTTCCTTAGTCCTGATTCTTCCCACTCTGTAAGTGGGGAGACTGAGGCTTGGAGAGGTGAGGTAGCACACACCGGGGCTACAGGAAGTGAGCGGGGGAGGTGGTCCAGAACTCCCAAGGGTGGGTGACCACAGGTGGGGTGCTCACCACCCGTTTGGTGTGCAAATCATCATGCCTCGATTTGCAGGATTTTTCAACGCTCGAGCCTTGGCCGTGGACTTCCGGAGCATCGGATTTCGGGAATGCCTCACCGAGGTCATCAGATACCTGGGGGTCCTCGAAGGGCCTAGCAGCCGCGCGGACCCCGTCCGGATTCGCCTCCTCTCCCACCTCAACAGCTACGCAGCCGAGATGGAGCCCTGCCCCACGCCCCCTGGGCCACTGGCTTTCCCCGCCTGGCCCTGGGCCTTCCTCCACGGCTGCCCTGGGCTCTCAGCCCCCAACAGCCAGCTTGCCCTCCTTGGCAGGATGCCCGTTCCTGTGCCCCCCAGTCCCTCCTCACTCGCTTACCCGCTCCCGGCCCTCCGAGCCGCACCTGTGCGCAGAGCCGCTGGCGCTGCCCAGCCTGCCCGGAGGGCTTTGCTGCCCAGTCGAGGGGCAGCTTCTATCCGGAGGGCCCGGGCCCTGGAAAGGCCAGCTGCCCCCTTGCCCACAGCTGCTGGTGGCAGGGCTGCCCAGAGCAGCCTCATGGCACCCCTCCTCCGGTCCCCTTCCCCCGCACCCCCTGGGGTAGTGAGGTCCCCCACTTTTTCTGCTGTTCCTGCTCTTAGGGCCTCTTCCCCAGGGCTGGCAGCCAGGCCACCGGGCACAGGGCGCTGCCACTCCTGGATCCCTGACATCGCAGAAGTCGGGGCCTTCTGAGCTGGCACCCCCAAGTCCCGGCTTGACCCTGCCTCTCGGCCTGCTCCCTGCTCCGGCCCCGAGACGGGTCTTCTCACCCCACTAAGACCCCTCCCTGTCCGCTGGCCTCAGCACCCTGCTCACAGCTGTCCCTGTCCCCTACCCCGCTCAGAGGCTTGTTGGCAAGTCTTCCCTGGACAGAGCCCAGGAGAGGCCCTCGGAGCTGTGCCCTGACCCCCCTCCGGTCTCAGGGCCCACAGGGCAGCAGGCGAGTCTGGGACTCTTGAGCCTGAGGGGCCCGACTCCTGGGGGCCCCTGGGAGGCTGCTCTCCCCCGAGGCAGTGAGACACCCCCCATCCCTTCCCATTCTTCCCAGGACTGGGGTCGGGGATCAGAATTCAAGCGTCTACCCCGCTTCCTGGAGAGAGTGACTGAACAGAGGCCACAAAGAGGTCTCCGGGGACCCCTGGTCTGCCTGACTCTGCCCTCCTGGATCGCTGTCATGCAGACTGTCCACTGACGGCTAAGCCTGGGGGTGGGGTCTTCCAGCCCGCAGACAGCTGGCAGTGCTCGCTCCCAGCTGCAGCAAGGAGGCCTGGGACAGCTCCCCAGGGCAGGAGACCAGACTGACCACTGGAAAACCCCCAGGCGAGTGACCCCCACTGCGTCCACCATGCCCCAGGCTGCATTCCCACATGCGGCGCCCAGAGCGGGACCCGTTGGGACTCGAAGCAGACATCACGCGCCTGGTTTGCGTCCGGCCTTCGGGGGGAGCACAGACTGTAGGGGCAGCCGAAGCCTGTCAGGCCGGACTAAAATAACCGTGAGGAGGGGCAGAGGGAGGACCGCAGAGGCGGCTGGGCGCTCCAAGGTCGTTCGGAGGTCAGGTGCCTAAAAGCCTGCTTCCCCCCACTCACACAGCTGGCTCCACTCACAGACTGTCACCCCCACGCGCCGACCCGGCCACTGGGTCAGCACAGTGCGACTCAGCCACCATCCCCAGGGGCCCCACAAAGATTAGACCAAATGGGGCAGTCCCAGGGCTGAGCTGCACAGGATCAGTGTCACCAGAGCAGTTGTTAAGGGTCTCAGTCGGTGCCCACTGCCCAGGCTGCCCCCTGGAGCCCACCCGCTTCTCTAGCTGCCAGTCAGGTCCCAGCTTCTATGTAGCCACTGAGTGTTTCCAAAGGCGCCTCCAGGAACTGATTCCCTGTTCCTCCAGTACAGAAACCTCATGGGCCCAAGGTCGAGTTTGCAAACACCCAGGGGAAAAGAGCTCTCTCGGGGAAGTGGGGCAGAGGGCAGGGGCATTGGAGTGACCCAGAAAACTCCTTTGAAAAGACCCATTTCTTCAGGAGGCAGCGAGAGCTGGAGACTGACCTCGGGCCGGAGAGGGGTCCTGAGGGCAGGCTTGGGGAGGGCAGAGTGGTCAGCAGCTCCCCTGTGTTGGCAGAGGGGACAGAGCAGGTGAAGGTGGCAGAAGGCTAAGATCCCCCTCCCATCTTTCCCCAAGAGCAGGAACTCCTCCTCCCAACACCCCCCGCCCCGGCCACCCTGGATGGTGGATCCTGGCCCCCAGTAGCAGACTAATCCTGCATTTGATGGGGGGGGCTTCCTAGTAGGGAACCCAATGTGAAGCACTTGCAAGGCCATGGGGAACATGTGTCTTTGGGTACCAGCTCCCAACGTTCCTGTGATGCTCCTACGTGTGACAGTGTTCAGGTCCCCTCTAAGGAGGTGACCTGGGCTTCCAGCTTCCTAATCTTTCTCAAGCCCGTCACCCTCACCTAGAAACTGTAGGAGGGGGGCTTTCTGCCTGTATTCTCATGCTTGAGGATTTGTTTGTATCCCTAATCTTCCTGGTGCCCCCGACTCCCACCCCATTGCCTGGGGTAGCAGCCAATAAAGATTTTGTACTTCTGGAAACCCTCAAGAGATCTGACTCTGGAGTCTGACTGCTTCGCTCTGAACCTACCACCCTGCTCTGGTTGCATCACCTTCCCCCTCCCTCTCACACATCCTCCCCCCACCCCCGCCCTCCAAACTTTGCTCTCACCCCCAAAAGGTCTGCCTGGGTTCCCTCTAGATTTGCCAGCTCTCAAGAGCAAGCAGAGATGCAAATCCTGTTGAACAGTTTCAAACTCACACTCTGTCACCTGGACTTCTAAGAACTTGTCCCAGGTCCTTCCTTGGGTCGAAGAGATGGAGTATGTGCTTTGATGTGGGAACCCTGAGTTCAGTCCCGGCACCACAAAGTCCCCTGAGTACCCAGCAAGGAGTAGCATCTAAGCACCACTGGCTTTGGCCCAAAACTACCCAACCCTAAACAAAAAATAAAAAATCCATGAACTTCCCTGCAGCCTCATCTCTGCTAGCCCCAGTTGTGTCCCCCAGCTTTTGCCACCCACCTTGACCTTCGTTCCTGCACATTGCAGCCTCCAACACTTCTCTAAGCATGCAGGTGCTGTTCCCTTTGCCCAAGGCCTCCCCTACCTGAGCTCCTCATACCTGCACGTGGCCCTGTTCAGAGGAACCTTCTCTGATACCATCTCAGTCGCTTTCAAAGCCCCCGCGCCCTCCCCCTCACAATGACTGTGCCGCTGCATGTCCACTCGCATGCTTCCTTGTTGACCATCCCCCAGCCTGGACAGTAAGTTCCCGCTGCCTCTCCCCCTACCTACCTTCAGCAGACTCGGGGCCTGGCTTGGCCTGTGTGGAGTCAGTATTCGTGGAATAAGTGAACTGGAGAGGAGAGGCCTCTTCCAGACACGAGCTGCTGGACGCTTCAGGCTCGCCAACTTTGGGGGAGGGTGGAGAGCAAAAGTGAGACGCAGAGCCAAAGGACTGGAAGTTCTGGCCAGCGGTCTGCAGCAGCCGGCCAAAGGAAAGTGCTAGTGTGTTTGCTCTGGAGTACACGGACAGCTGGGAGCGGGTGGGCTGTCTCAGTCAGCGTGATTGTCCTCCTCTCTGGGCCTGGCTCACAACAAGCACAGCAGACGTGGAGCATTCGTGGAGGTTCGTGGAGGTCTAGTCTGCGCCAGGCAGCCAGAAGAGAAGAGAATGCTGTCAACCCGAAACCAGTGACAGCTTGGTGAGGTGTGAGTGGAAAGAGATGTCTGCTGAGAAGGCTCAGCTTGACTCTGCCTCAACTGGGCCTGCAGAATGGAGTGCAGGGAGAAAGACTTCCTGGAAGAGGAGGAAGGAGGCATTCTAGCAGCAGAGGGGACAGTGAAATCCAGGGGACCTTTCAGTGAAACACAGACCTTTGGGGACAGAGCAAATACTCAACTCTGGACACTTGACCTAAGAGGGCTATTACCTTGGGCAAGTTACTTAATACCCCTGAAGCTCAACTTTCTCATCTGTAAAGAGGGGTAATGCAGTCACTGAGGGATGACCTTGTTCCAGACGTTGCTAAAGGTTTGTCTTGGACAGTGCCCAGTTAACAGAAGGGAAAACAGGACTCGAGCTAGGACAGCCGGTAAGACACGTGTGTGTATGTGTGTGTGTGTGGGGGGGGGGAGGTGTGCATACAGGCATACAGTGTGAACAGTGCCAGGTTCAGTCCCTGGCACTGCCTAGAAGTGATCCCTAAACACAGAGCCAGGAGTAAGCCCTGAGAACAGCTGGTGTAGCACCTAAACTAAAACCAAACATGAAAACAAAGTACGGATGGGAAGATGGCCTTGGTGCATCCTCTGAAGCCGGGTGAGGACAGAGGGGAGAAAGTTGGGAAAGGAGCTAGGGAAAGCTTTGACTCAGCCTCCAGCCCTGAAAAGAGGCTCCGGCTTGCAAAAGACTCAGAGGCTGCGCTGGGTATGTGCTTCTGCCTGAGGCCACTGAAGTCCAGAAGTTGGGGCCAGGTGAAGGGTAACCGCCAAGGGCAGCTCTTGTTTGAGAAAATACTGCCTGGGGGGGGGGGGTGTGGATTTCTGACTCCACACACACTTTAACTCCTCAGAACCATTAGGAACACCCAGACCCTGTTTTAAAGCATCAGTACAGAAACTGAAGCAATAGCACAGCCGGTAAGGTGCTTGCCTTGCACGTGGCAGACCCAGGTTCTATCCCTGGCATCCCATATGGTCCCCCGAACACTGCCAGAGTAATTCGAGTGCAGAGCCCTGAGCAGCACCAGGCATGGCCAGAAAATAGTAAATAAATAAGACAGCAGTGCTGGGGTCAGAGTAACAGTACAGCGGGTAAGGCACTTTCCTTGCACAGTCAACCCAGCTTTGATCCCTGGCAGACACATGATCCTAGGGTCCCTCAAGTGTTCCCTGAGTGCAGAGCCAGAAGCACAGCCAGGTGTGGCCCAAAGCAAACACAAAAACAAAAACCCACCAGCGCTGAGGCCAGAGAGGAGGCGCAGCCATAGAGCATTTGGCTTGCATGCGTGAGGCCCTGGGTTTGATGCCGTGTGTGTGTGTGTGTGTGTGTGTGTGTGAGAGAGAGAGAGAGAGTGAGCATGTAGTACCCACACATATGTGTGAGTGTGAATGTGTGCGTGCACATGTGTGTATGAGTATGGTTGTGCGTACATGAATATGTGTGTGAGTGTGTGCACTCATGTGAGTGCATGCACATGTGTGAGTGTGGGTGTGCATGCACACACATGTGTGTGCCCCTGTGTGTGTAAGTGTGTGCACACACAGGCTGAAGAGAGAGTTTGCTGCTGAGCGCGGGCTCTGCATGGGGAAGCACTGCACCACCAGGAGTGATGCCTGAGTACTGAACCAGGAGAAGCCCTTGAACACCTCCAGGTGTGACTCAAAAACAAAAAACAAAAGTAACTGCAAGATAATACATGTGTGCTGCTTGCCGCATTCCGCAGACAATGGGACAGTAATAGGTGATTAATACTCTGGCAAAAACTGGCCTCTGATTCTGCCAACAGCCTAGAAGTTGCTCTAGGAAGGAGCCCGTCACTTGAAGCAAAAAGGCACGGGTTTGACTTAACCCATAAACAGAAACCTCACAGTGGGGACCGTCTTGTTCTCCGCAGGTCCTCTGTGAGACTCCACGGCCACTTGGCCTCCTCCCAAACTCGTGTCCCTTCCAGGCTGATCCCACTCCGTTCTCCTGTGGGGGATGGAGACTCCCGAGAATTGTTTTATCTTCTGAAC